TTTTTCAAGGACCACAACTTCCCCCCCCTCAGTGGTCGAGAACGCCCTCGACCGTGTCTCCCGCATTTCCCGCAACTCATCCCTCACACCCCCTCCCCGCAATAACAACCAAAACAGAATCCCCCTCATCCTCACGTACCACTCCACCAACCTCCGGATCCAACGCATCATCCTCTGACACTTCCGCCATCTGCAATCCGATCCCACCACCAAAGACATTTTTCCCTCCCCACCCTTATCTGCTTTCCGGAGGGACCACTCTCTCCGTGACTCCTTTGTCTGTTCCACACTCCCCTCCAGCCCCACCACACCCGGCACCTTTCCCTGCAACCGCAGGAAGTGCTACACCTGCCCCTACACCATCCCCCTCACCCCCATCCCAGGCTCCAAGAAGACTTTCCACATCAAGCAGATGTTCACCTGCACATCTGCTAATGTGGTATACTGCATCCGCTGTTTCCGTTGTGGCCTCCTCTACATCGGGGAAACCAAGTGGAGGAATGGGGACCGCTTTGCAGAACACCTACGCTCGGTTCGCACTAAACAACTGCACCTCCCAGTCGTGAACCATTTCAACTCCCCCTCCCATTCCTCAGACGACATGTCCATCCCGGGCCTCCTGCAGTGCCACAACGATGCCACCCGAAGGTTGCAGGAACAGCAACTCATATTCCACTTGGGACCCCTGCAGCCCAATGGTATCAATGTGGACTTCACAAACTTTAAAATCTCCCCTCCCCCAACTGCATCCCAAAACCAGCCCAGCTTGTCCCCGTCTCCCTAACTGTCCTTCCTCCCACCTATCCCCTCCTCCCACCTCAAGCCCCATCTCTTACCTACTAGCCTCATCCCGCACCCTTGACCTGTCCGTCCTCCCTGGACTGACCTATCCCCTCCCTAACTCCCCACCTATACTCACGTTTACTGGCTCCATCCCCACCTCTTTGACCTGCCTGTCTCCTCTCCACCTATCTTCTCCTTTATCCATCTTCTATCCGCCTCCCACTCTCTCCCTATTTATTTCAGAACCCCCTTCCCCTCCCCTATTTCTGAAGAAGGGTCTAGGCCCGAAACGTCAGCTTTCCTGCTCCTCTGATGCTGCTTGGCCTGCTGTGTTCATCCAGCTGTACACCTTGTTATCTCTTATTAAACCATAATGCTTTTTGGCATTGCTGTGTGACCAATGACCAAAGCTAATTAGTATCCGTTTTAATTTTAAAACGTAAGTAAGTTCTTATCGTTATATTAAAGTCACTCCATGACTTTGCCCTTTTCCTGTCTCTTTCATCCTTACAATCCTGTGATATATCTTCAGTTATCCAACTCTGGCCCAATTTCCATTCGTTGCGGGTGCCTTAAGCAACAAAGGTCCTAAGCTCTTGAACTCCCTCTTTAACGTCTATGCCTCTTGACTTCTTTGTTTCTTCCTTTAAGTCTCCATTTAAAATCTTAGGCCAAGTTTTTGGTTACCTACCTTAAAATCTCTTTATGTTGCTCCGTGCTGAATTTTGTCTGGTAATGGTCCTGTGAAGCATCTTAGAACATTTTATTATTTAAAAGTGTTACATAAATGTTGCGGCTGTAGCTCAGGAACCCAACCTTGGCATTGACATTGCTCGTGATAATCATTCTGCTGTAAATGTAGCTGGCCTCTTCGAGCAAATGGCAGGTAGCTGAACTTTTCTACACAATGAGCAATCAAGTTTGTTTTTTCATTATTATTTCACTTAAATCACAGAATCACTGAAGTGTAACGGTGCAGAAAGAGTCTATTTGGCCCAACATGCATGTACCAGCTCATTAAATTAACAGCATTACATAGTGCCAACTCCTGTTTTCTCTCCATTCACTTGCACATTATTTTTATCTAAATAATCAACTTATGCCCTCTTGAACACCTCAATTGCACCTGCCTCCATCACACTTCCAGGCAGTGCATTCCATACCCTAATCACTCGCTGAGTTAAAACACTTTACCTCACTTCACTCCTGCTTCTTTTGCGGATCGCTTTACATTTGTCTTGTTCTTGTTCCATTTACAAGCAGGAATGGTTTCTCCGCAGTCCACGCATGATTTTTAAAACCTCCATCTGATTTCCTGTTAACCACCTTCTCTTCAAGGAGAACAATCCTAACTTCTTTAATCTATTCTCATAACTGACGTTCCTCATTCTTGAAACCATTCTAGTAATTCTTTGCACAACTTTTCTAACTGGACCTGCTGAGGCCAATTCGACTGGAGTTGTACCTCCTGGAATAACCAGTTAATTCGGGCTATCCTGATAGCTTTGTGATAGATTCCAAGAAGTTTGATTTGAAACATTAAATCTGTTTTTCTCTCCACAGAAGCTGCCAGATCTGCTGAGTTTCTCCAGCATTTTTAGTTTTTGTTTCAGATCCCAAACATCTGCAGTTCTTTGTTTCACTTTATTTAAATGATCTTGTGTTCACGTTTGAACTGTGAAAAGTAGTTGGTTGAGTACACATTCTGTCGGTCCAAATTTGTCTTGCACCTGGAGAGAAATTTTTTGAATAGAACAGAAGTGTAAAATGCTTGTGGCTACAAATCTGTGGCTAATAGTGGGAGAGACTTGAAGCCAAGAATTCAAAATTTCATATAACATATTGTCAATGTGATTTGTTAACTAATGAGAGTATATCCTATACCTGGTTATTACAGTAATATACAGATAGAGATTTTCTGGGTAGTAAATGATTACATTTTCGCTGTCTAAAAAGCACAATACACTCAGCTGTCTGTTGACCCGATGCATGGATTTCTTCTATAACTACAGCATTTACATGGGCAGACGCTAAAAAAGGCTGCAGTTTCTAGCTTTTTGAGGTGATTCATTAGTGAATCCAGGCAATTTAATGTTAGGCTGAGGCACTCAGGAAGCATTATGCAGAGAAGAAAGGGACTCATCTTTTTCATCATTAAAAGCTTGGGTAAGTTTAAGTGTTGCTGAAGCAATAAATAAAACTGGTGTCATTGCCGTAATGGGTGCTTTTTCTGTTATTACATATGGACAACTATTAGCTCCAGAGAAAGGCTTTCAGCCTCTGACACTTTGTTGTCAAGGCATTTTTTTCACAACAACCATACCAACTTGCATCTATCTCGTGCCTTTAACATATGAACACGAGCTTTCTGAAATAAGATTTGATGTTGCTGTTACCCCTGAGTTTGGAGGGATGTGTTGATTCTTTTCATGACCCATGGCACCATTGGTCGTAACAAATTTTAAATTTAAACAAAGTTTCGTGTAGGTTTTATACTGTATTTGCTTTAGTATGAGAAACAATTTAGCCAGTTCTCTTTTATCAACAAAGAGTAGATTATTGCAAATAATATTTAGTGAAACAAACATCTAAACATTATTGACAAAAACAGTTTAGATTGTGCAAAGATATTTATGACTTATATTCTAACATTTCAAACTTAACATGAGGCAAAGATGAGAAACAGAAAACAATGGTTGAACACACCCTACAGAACATATCAAAAAGGAAATGCGATCAGACTGATGCCACAAAATTCTCAGCAATCCCCCAGATGTTAGTGACACAGTAGGTCACCAAATCTCATTAAAACTCCACAAGGGATTAAATATCTACATTTCCAATGATCTTGTCTTGAAACTCTCTCAAAGACACAGACAGACGCACTTATGTGCGCATGTGCATGCATACGCCTCACTTCACTGTCCTCTGTACTGTCTATTGAAACCTTTATAATGTGCTTTGTCTTTATTGATTGGCAAACTTTAGTCTAACTAGCATTTTCAAACAGTCAAATGTAGCACCCTTGAAACTGCTTGTACCCTTGATTCTTACAACATTCACTGAGTGCTGGCTCCTGCAACAACAATTGATTGTTACACAAAAAAAGAATTAATTAATCACTGTCCCTATAAAGATATAGTGGGCAGTCGACATGTAGGCTTTAAGGAAAGCCTGAAAAGAAGAGTGGGATTGAGAGGTGTTAGGGACAAAATTCTAGAGCTTGGGTCTTAGACAGCTAAATGGTTGTCAATGGTGGAATAAAGAAAATCAGGCATAAGGGGTCAGAATTGAGGAGTGCAGAATTCTTGGAAGGTTTCAGGGCTGGAAGAGGTGACAGAGATAGGAAGAGATAGGAAGCGTACAAAGCTGAGAACTTTAAATTGAAGATATTATTGGATCATTATGAAACTCAGAGCTAGCTATCCCTCAAATTGCTGTTGTGCTCTTTATAGTTTACCTCTGAATCTCTTTTACTGAAACTCTATGTTTACAGATAGCCTCACTAATTACTCTGTGTGCTAGTGCACAGTCAGACCTTATCTGCAATGTAAAATCATACTGCACAACATAAGGACATTGGCTAATCATACCTGATTAGGATACTCTTCTTCAAACAGTGGCATGAGAATTTTTACATTTGACTCAATAGGAGGACTGTCCCATGTTTTTTATCAGCATGTCAGGAAGACAGCATTACCAATAGTGCAGCCCTGTCTTAGTGCTGACAGAAATAGCAGCCTAAATTAGGTCCTGAGTTCTGAGGAAAGGTCACCGGACCCGAAATGTTAACTCTGTTTTCTCCTCCACAGATGCTGCCAGACCTGCTGAGCTTTTCCAGCAACTTTGTTTTTGTTCCTAAATTTGGTCCTTATGTTCTAGAGTGGAATTTGAATTCAAAACTTTCTAACTCAGATGAAAGTGCCAGCTGTAAGCAAGTTGATGCCTATTCTGCTGCAGATCAGATACAGTTTGCCAAAATAACACAATATACATATGTCAGATGTTTATATGATACCATGGTGTTACTGGTGTTGTGGAGAACAATGCAAGAGTTCTGAGAAGTAATTGATTTACCATAAGTTGGTGCCAGGCTAAATCAAGACTTATATTTGTCTCTACAGATGAATGAATAACAAATAAGGCTTGATAAGTAGAGCTGTTACTGAATATGCTGTTGGTGGTCAATGGATTTATCTTCTCTACTTTTATTTCAGGAACGCTGCGTTGCTGTGTTGGCTCGTGTGGAGCGCACAGACTTTCTCTCACCAATGTCCATTGGGGATGTAGCACATGTCAGTGCAGAGATAACCTATACGTCAAAGCACTCTGTTGAAGTCCAAGTTAATGTGATGGCTGAAAATATTCTCACAGGTACTGACCTAGAATTTTTAAATAATAACCTGTCTAAGCTGTGTTTATGCTTTGCTTTGTATTCACTCTGTCTGTCTGTCTGTCTCTCTGTCTTGAATAAAGACTGCCTGTTGAGAAACTTCTGGAAATTATTTCTGATGGCATTTATTCTGTCCCCATATTTTTCGTAATGAATTGGTGTGGTAAATTATACATAAAAATTCAAATGATGCCTGAATTGTCTGCTAAACCTGCTACTGAATTTGTGCCTTGTCCTGACCAGTTGAAGCTACAATTTGCTTCCATTATATAGAACGCTGTTCCAAATGTTTCTCCTGAATTGAGTCACATTACACTGATTCAGATTGAAACATTGGCAAGATGTCCAAGATGGGAGATCATTGGAACAATAGCTGTTTCATTGTGTTTGCAGTAGTGAGTCAGGTGAACAAAGAAAAAAGTTAATAACGTTTCAACTATTGGGTTATCTTCACGTGCAACATACAGGCAAAGAAGACGACAACATCTAAGACAGAGTGAAAAGATAGAGAGGTAATCAAAGAACAGAGTTTAAATTACTTCATGCTATTTTTAGCAATCTGGTTAATGTCTTGAAATTAAACTTTGGCCTGTGCTATTTCAATGATTAAAATAGCACATAGGGAAATCTAAATCCCAGTATGTGAAATCATAAATGTCTTGAATATATAAGGTAGACGAATTGGGTTATAATTGTTGGAACTAGGGATGAGAATGAATAATGAACATAATGGGAAAAAAAACTCATTGCAATTAAAAAAATTTACAAGGAAGGAGGAATCATAGAATCTCAACAGTGTAGAAGCAGGCCATTCAACCACTGAGTCCCACACTGGCCCTCCAAAGATCATCCCCCCCCAACACATACATGCACATATACACCATATCCCTGTAATCCTGCATTTCCCATGGCTAATCCACTGAGCCTGCACATCCTTGGACACTATAGTTCAATTTAGCAAGGCCAATTCACATAACCTGCACATATGTGGACTGTGGGAGGAAACTGGAGCATCCAGAAGAAACCCATGCAGACACGGGGAGAATGTGCAAACTGCACACGGGCAGTTGCCTGAAGCTGGAATCAAACCCAGGACCCTGGTGCTGTGAGGCAGCAGTGCTTACCACTGAGCCACCATGCTGCCCCTTCTTGCTGGTTATTCCCATTTTATTCAGTAAAAAGTGTTGTTTAAGTGCAAGAAATTGGCCAAAAGAGGGTTGTGCACATGTATACGTGCGGGGAGAGTAGCATACAACAACTCGAAAGAGTTTGTTGTCCTCATCTTCCTCTGCTATATGTATGAATTCTGCTGATGGTCCAAGTTCTTGGGCACCAGGTACATTCTAGCACCTGACCCCCAAGGAGCAACTATTGATATAACAACTTGTTATTCCACGATGAAGGTATCACATCAAGCCAGCAGTATGCAGAAATGGAAACCGGAATTATTTGACTGTGTCCAGCACACTCAAGACACACCTAGCTTTAACACGCCTGTTACTTTCCAATTAAGTTCACCCAAATGAACTTGGAGTGGGCAATGAACCCAAGATTTTGTGCTCTGCATAGCTCAGCTACATGGCAATCACACAGTCTGAAAGCTATAAAACGTCAATATATAAATCAATCTACAGCACAAAAACCAACTGTGCAAGCACCCAAAGGATACTATCCCTTTAACTTTATTTCCATAGGTGATGGTTCTCTGCAACTGTTGACACAGTTGATGTCCACGTCCATGAGGCAAACAAGGTGCACTTTTCAGCAGAAATCCCTTTGTAACATTCAGAAGCTGAAATTTGGTGATGTTTCTTTCCTTAGCTCAGGGCACACAATTACTGGGATGACCTAATTCATCTTTGATGAGAGGTTAAGTGTGAGACATTCTGCTTGTCTGTGGTTAAGTCCTTTTTACAGTCTTTCCTGGAATGTGAATGCTATTGGCAAAACCAGCATTTGTTGCCCCACCCTAATTGCTCAAGAAGGTACTAGTGAGCTGCTGTCTTTAACTACTCCAGTACATCTGGTGTAAACATACACACAGCGCTGTTAGGAATGAAACTTCAGGTTTTTTACCCAACAACAAGTGATGGAGTAGCAATGCAGTTCCAAGTCTTACATATTACAGCATTCCTGTGCACCTGCTACTCGTGCTTCTAGGTGGTAGATGCCCTGGGTTTGGAAGCTGTTGTTGAAGGTTGCTGCAGTGCATCTGGTAAATGCCATATACTGTTGTTACTGTGCAGCAGTAGTGGAGGGAGTGAATGTTTAATTGATGGATGGCATGCCAATCAAGTGAACTGCATTGCCCTGCAAGGTCTTTGAGTGTTCCTCGAGCTGTTCTCGAGAAGGCAAATGGAAAGTACTTCATTACACTCCTAATTTATGCCTTAAAAATGATGGGGACTACGTTGGGAATAGGGCAGTGAGTTACTAGCCATAGAATTTCCAAGTATTTCCAGTATTTATGTAGTTGGTCCAGTCAAATTTCTGGTCATTGGTAACTCCAAGACTGTTGATGGTCTGGATTCAGAAAAAGTAATGCCACTAAAAGGGGAGATGGTTGAAGGTAGAGAAGAAACACAGATAAGTTGCTAATGTATTCAAAAACATTTTAAGCTGAATTTCAGACGTTGAAGTGAGACTGTGATACTCAACCTATGGTATTAGCCTTTTCCTTAAGCCTGTGTGCACAAGAATTAAGCAGCCCAAGCCAGTAAAATTGAATATACTGGACATCTAAGGTTTTGGAGTAGATCTGTAGCTCGGGTCGTGGGTGTTGAGGTTGGTTGGCTCGCCGAGCTGGACGAGCCAACCAACCTCAACATACTGGACATCTAAATTTTTTTTAAAATGTTGAAAATATACGGCAGGCTAGTCAACACCTGTAAAGGGGAAAGAGTTTTAGATGCATACCCATCATGAAAATCTTCTTAGTATGCCCTCTGGAATATATACACTGTTTTAACTTTGCAGTACTGGATCCAGAAATGAAGCAATACAAATTACAAGCCTATCAATTTAGATTTAAAGTAATGTGTCAAATTTCATTTCATTTCTGGACATAGGTGTTGCTTTTAAACATTATATCAGCTGAAAGCATTAACAAACTTTGTGTTTTTATCGTTGAATTTTCATCTTCTGATCCAAAATCATTTCCAGCTCTCAATAAATTTTACAGTATTGCAGCATCTGTATTCTCATCCGCATGCACCTACTCTTGAGGCTAAACTCCATTCCATCAATGTTTATTTACAAGGCTGCTTGCTTTAGACTGTACAGTACCAATTCCTAATGGCCTTCACAACTATTTGTTGTCTTTAATAAAGGAGACAAATTCTGGGCCAAACATTCACTGACAGCAAACCATAAACATGTTGGAGTGTGGAGTTTCTCAGAACATTCTTCCCTATTTATCTATGAGGGTTAGCTATCAGAGGACTTTGTTTGCAGTGAAAGAAATATGTGGGGCAGACACAAGATCCTCTTTGCAACCTTTCTCTGAACATAGTGTCCTCACTTATTTAGTTTATTGAGAAAAGCCTGTCTATTATCTTCTGTAAATAGTTTTCCTGCAACATGTGTTGTTAGGCAATTCAAAGTCGCTCTTTTACCTCTCTTCAGGAACATTTTCACATGTATTTATTTGTTGCAGTCCTTCATCTTAGTAATGCTTTCGGAATATGCACACATGTCAGCACCTGTGAGAATCTGACCCATTGGGTTACCTGTATGACAAAATCTAGTACCCTCTTTATCTAGTATACTTAGTATAACCTTTTCAATATGAATGTGCTGCTTGTAATTTAGTATGACACACATTGAGAAAACGTTGTGTTTAAAAGGCCGCACACTGGATGAAAGTAGTAGATTTTGATCTGCAATTTGTCAATCTTTATCCTCTATATGATTACAAGTTTCCATGCTGGAGCAGAACAATGTGTCTTTGTGGTAATGTGGCAATCACCTGGTGATGTCTCAGTGGACAGAGTTAATTCTGTGAGTCACAGGGGCTGCTGGAACTTGGGAAGTACAGTAAAGTTACCATTTTTGTAGGTGAATCATTGCATTCTGACTTATTTGTACTTGCTGAAGAGCAGTAAAGGGAGGTTGACAAACTTACAGTGATCAAGACTGGCTTGACGAGATTGATCAAGAAATGCACAAAATTCTTGATCGGAAATGCAATGCCTTCATTATGTATCAAAATTATCCTAAGCCACAGGGGAATAATGAAGAATACTAATGCTCAAATCTGGATGTAGATAATGATAAGTGTCATTAGGAATATGTGATTGCTAGCGAGGGCCAGTGAAGTCCAACACTGTGTAGACATGCATGAAATGCACAGAGTCCTCCAGCACCAAGGCTCTGTATGGACCAAAAACAAGTGATCCCTCCCCACTTTTAGCTGGTGACAACAATAACTTTCTCAAAGAGAATGTAGCTATCCAAGACCATTGGTCAGGGCACTACTGGAACCTTCTCAATTGGGAGTCAGCATTGTCAGACAAAAACAATCCTGTAACAGCTTTGGAGATCATATTTGGATGTGTTGCCAACACTTGCTGAGATACACAAGGCTATCCAGTATAAGAAGAATAATAAGATGTGTGGTCTGATCAACAATTGTACAGAGATCTATAAAGCTGGTGCTGACTTAAGCTCTCACTCAAAGACTCAGGCTTTTCTACAAAAATCTGGAGAAAGAAAGATAATGTCTTGCAACCTTTATAATAATGCTACTATTGTTTAATTTTGTAAGAAGGGTAATGTATCAATTTTGGGAACAATAAAGGCGTTTTCTTTTTGTTCACTGTGGGCAAGATTCTCAAAGGAAGTCCCTTGAACAGTTGCCTATCTATCAATGAAAATACCCTTGTGGAGAGTAACATAAAGAAACAGATTTGAAACCTTGGATCAAATCTTTCAAAATCCAAACAATAATATTTCTGTAATGTAGACATTTGTAATATAATGA